GACTTATGGCTCTATAATTTAATTCACATACCTGTGCCCTACCACAAAGATTCTGATAATTGGTCTGGGCTGGGCCATCACCTTGATATTTTTTTTAAAGGTCCCCAAAATTCTCATGTGTCACTAGGATTAAGAATTATTGCTCTGAAATATAAGAGCTAAGACTCTTACTATTATTATCTGTATATCTTGCTTGCTTCCCTGGAAATCATAGGTTCTCAGAAGGGAGGGACTTCTTAATTTTATAGTATCTTTATTACCTAACACATAGCCTTGTACATAATACGCAATCAACAAATATTGACTGTGCTGATTATCTTGAATGTCATAGTGGATGATGATCTTTAAAATGTTTACTCTTACTTTATACCAATGAGGCATGGTATTCTAGATTTAGTTAAGCGTTCTAAGTATATAATGATAGATTTTATACTTATGGACCGGAGAATTACTGGGAAAAAAGGGACATAGAATTCTTTTAGAGAAAAATTATTCAAACAGTTTAAATGAACACAAGAACAAATCAAAGAGACTTATCTCTCTAAAGCTTGGACCAAATACAGTCTATAAACAGGGTTTTTGGTCATCAATGTTTTCGAATTTTTGGATTTTAATGTCTTTGGATAGGATCACATATGCACTCTAACAGTTTACCACAATCTGCACCATACCATATTGTGTTGTACTTGGCCTAGGCAACTCCCCTGCTTCCATCAGAGTTCACAACCTATGTTTTCTCCTATGATGCCAATATGAGTCATTCTGAAAGAACTTAGTTTCCTCTTTCTGACATGGTAACCGGACAGCTATTATATTTTTGGTGAAAAACGATATAAATCTGGAGAGGTTTTAAAAGCCTGCCTGGTCTTACTGAAGACATAACGAGTCCTTGATGAAGACACCGACGGTTGGGAGGGGCGTATGCATGTGATGACAGTCAGAATCACATACAGTAACATCTGGAAAGGCTGTAAGAGTGACAAGGTGACTTAGTGAGGTAAGATTTTATAGGGATAGATGTAATATTATTAGGTTGAAAACTCAGCCATG